ACTGGTCGATGGGGCAATAAAAGGTAATGTTTGAGGTCGTCCTTTCCAGATGAAAGAAGCCAATCCTATCTGTGTGGGATGAGACCCATTTGCACCACTGTGGACAAGAACTATTTCCATTTTCTACAGCCCAATTTCTTCCCCATCTGAGCTGTAGAACAGCCTCTTCAAAAGAAAGACAAAGGTACGGATAACCCCTGTGGATGGGCTGCACCTGGCCCGCCTAGTGTCTCCTGGCCCATTTGCAAGTCTTGGGCAATTTCTCTAGACAGGGGATTGTCTCGGTCTGTTCGCACCTGCAGGACAGAGAGCGCCTCAAACTAGGATGTTAGAATGACCCATGCAGTGTCGAAAGATCCGGATCCCAGACCACAGCCCAGACCCTTCAAAACCTGTATCTCTTGTCAGTGGTGCCTGGAGGCAGAATATTTATAGTTTACTTATTTGGCAGCACCAAGTCTTGGTTACAGCATCAGTTCAGTTCAGTTGCTAAGTCGTGTCCAATTCTTTGCGACCCCATGGACTGTGGCACGCCAGGCCTCCCTGTCCATCACCAACTCCCAGAGTTTACTCAAACTCATGTCCATCGAGTCAGTGATGCCATCCAACCATCTCATCCTCTGTCGTCCTTTTCTCCTTCCGCCTTCAATCTTTCCCAGCATCAGGGTCTTTTCCAATGATCAGTTCTTTGAATCAGGTGGCCAAAGTATTGGAGTTTCAGCTTTAGCATCAGTCCTTCCAATGAATATTCAGTACTGATTTCCTTTAGGATGGACTGGTTGGATCTCTTTGCAGTCCAAGGGACTCTCAAGAATCTTCTCCAACACCACAGGTCGAAAGCATCAATTCTTCGGCACTCAGCTTTTAGTCCAACTTTATAGTTTGACTTTATAGTCCAACTCTCACATCCATACATGACTGCTGGAAAAACTATAGCTTTAGCTAGAAGGACCTCTGTCTAGGGTAGAAATCAGGTCCCTGACTTTGAGAGCATGGAGTCTTAACCACTGGACCACCAGGGAAGTATAGAGAAGTCTCTTATTTATTTTTTTAATATTTTATTTATTTACGTTGGCCCCCTTGTGTGGCACGTGGGAATCTTAGCTCCCTGGCCAGGGATCGAACCTGGGTCCCCAGCATTGACAGCATGGAGTCTTAACCACTGAACCACCAGGGAAGTCTGCATAGGGATCTTTAAAGCTCCAGGTGATTCAGAAGTGCAGCCAAAGTTGAGAACCACTGACCAGAGGACATCCAAGCAGGAGCTACGAGCTAGCAGCTCACCTCCCACTCCCAACCCCTCCTCACCCCCTCCCAGCCTCTTCCTCTGCCCTAGGCTGCCCATCCCTCGTCTCCTCTCCCCAGGCCTGGCATTGTGCCTTGGGGGCCGATCACCCCTACCGCCATGCAGAGGGGGCCGAGGACACCTCCCCTTCCAAAGCCCCCTCCACTGGAGGTTAGTCCCAGGAGACGGCCTCTTGAAAGTGTTTTGCTCCTGGACACAGAAGTAACCACAGCATGAAAGCAGCAAATGAGAAGAAATCTATCATCCTTAGGAAATTGGTTCCGGCCGCCCCGCAGAGTCACAGCAATCAGAGGAGCCCTTCAAGTGCCGGGCGAAATGAGTAGGTTTGTTTTTTTTTTTTCCCTGAGGTTGTAACTCACTCTTTTTTTTCTTTTCCATTTATTTTTATTAGTTGGAGGCTAATTACTTTACAATATTGTAGTGGTTTTTGCCATACATTGACATGAATGATCCATGGATTTACATGTGTTCCCCATCCTGAGCCCCCTCCCAATGAGTAGGTTTAATAGTGATGCACCAGCTGTCTCCAGGAACTTGTAAGCACGAGGTGGGTGGGCTGTGGGGCTGCCCCTACCTCTCTGGCAAGGGCTTAGATCGGGCACTTGGGGGCCTCAGTCCCCAGAAGCTCCTTTCACAAAATGCAGGATGGAGCCGATCTCCTTTGAGACTTCAGATATGTTTTCAGCCAAGCTCGCGTCCCATCCTGGAGAGCAACCTGGGGAGGCTGACTGGGAGGGCAGGGCTGGCCTTGACTGGAACTGGCCAGCTTTCCTGGCAGCCAGAACCCTGAGTGAGCTGACCAGCCAGAAGATGGAAGGGGAGAGCAATGGCTGGTTGGGAGTCCTGCCCCTGGAATGACCTTGAAGACATCCCAGATCCCCGCAGACCGTGGGGGCGGTTAGGCAGTTGGGGATGCCCACTAGCATTTGTCCAGTGACCTCGGGCAAGCCTGAGCCTCTAAAAGAGCAGCACAGTAACATCTAGGCCCTGAGGTCGTGCTGAAGATCAGATGACACCAAAGACAGGAAAGCCAGCCTCCACAGTGTGATCTCCCTCCCTCCCTCCCTGGACATCTGAGAATCAGGGCAAAGGCTTGACTCGCCTGCAGGTCTCAGACGTGCCCTTTCCGTGGTGGCAGCCACACATGACCACTGAGACTCAGAGTGGGGCTGGGGTAAACCTAGACGAGCCATGAGTGTAAAATACACACTGGGTTCTGAAGTTCCAGTTTTTTTTAAAAACAAAATGTCTAATAATTTTTGTATGATTGCACGTTGAAACTATTTTTGGCACGTGTTGTGTGCATGCATGCCAAGTAGCTTAAGTTGGCAACTATGGGGTTGCAACTTTTTGCAACCCCATAGACAGAGGAGACACTAGGCTCCCCTGTCCATACCATTCCCCAGGCAAGAATACTGGAGTGGGGTGCCATGCCCTCCTCCAGGGGATCTTCCTGACCCAGGGATCGAACCCGTCTCTTATGTCTCCTGCATTGGCAGGCAGGTTCTTTACCACTAGCGCCAACTGGGAAGCCCATTGTTGGCATAATGAGGTTAAATAAACTATCACAAGTAATTTCACGTTTCACTTTTTTGACACAGCTATCACCAATCTAAAATTTTTTGTGTGGCTTGCGTTACCTCCAGTGCTGTCAAGGGTCCTCAGGGCCACCATGGGACTCTGCTCTGGCCCCAGCCCCTCGGTATGTCCCGCCAGCTGCCATGGCTGCCGAGCCCCAGGCTGACTCAGTGAAGCCCACACAACACTGTGGACCACAAGGCGCCACAAACTATAATCCAACACACCTGGGCGCCTCTGCCCCACCTCGCCCCCCACCACCCCCCAGGCCACCTTCCCTGCATGTGCGAGCAATTCTTCAGGAACCGCAGGCCACACTCTGCCCCATCTTCGCTTAGGGAGACTTTGCGAATGGCCCTGGGGACTGAAAGGCCTGTTTTCCAAGAGGTTTCCACTCCTGAGGACTCAGAACTTCCTGGCCCTTGCTCTGGACATCGTGTTAACGCTGGTGGTACCTTCCCAGCCCCACGCCCACTTCCTCTCACAGGGCTGTGCAGAGGCTTTTGCCTTGGTTGGGGTTGCCAGATAAAATACAGAATACCTTGTGAAATCCGAATCCCAAGCCAACAGAATTTTTTTAAGTCTTAGTATATCCCATGTAATATTTAGTATATACTAAAAAAAAAAAAAAAATTTCATTTATCTGAAATTCAAACTTAACTAGGGCAGCCCGATTTGCTAAACTCAGCAGCCCTGCTTGGATTAAGTGTCTGGAGTGGGGTTTGGGCGTTTAGTGTTAACAGCATCCACCCTGGGTTCAGGGTCTGCCTCTGCCTGTTCTGCATCCCTAACCTCAAGGCCTCAGTTCTCTCATCTGTACAATGGAGATGACAATCAGGGTCCCCGCTTCACATGACTGACTGTCGTGGGGTGAGATGAGATCAGCCCCAGGAAACCTGGCCTGTCCCAAGTACTCCCCTGCTGTGAGGGAGGAGACACGGGGCGGGCCAAGGCACAGCCGTCAAAGCCAGGGCAGGAGGCTCTCCTCCCCGCAGAGGAGGTGTGCTGGGGGTTCAGGCAGAGGTGCACACTGCCCACGACACAGCAGCATTCCGACTCTGGGACCCCCCAGGACCCCAAGGGGAAGGGTTCTGCTGGGTGGGCTCGGAAAGCAGCCTTTGTCTGCTGAACCCTGGGACTGCCCGAGCCCCCTGACCTCGGAGTGAGGACAGACAGGGCCACTCAGAGACGTGACAGGGCTTTGCGAGGTTCTCCTGGGCCTCTCTGGACCACTACACTGGAAGAGATGGGAGGAAATCACCCAGCTAAGCATCAGGCAACCCGCCAAGCACTCCTGGGCTTGTCTCCTCCACTGGATCGTGACTTCTGCAAGCCATGTGGGGAGAGGTGGTGACACAGGGGGTAAGCTTGACAAGGCCAGTGGAGCAGGCTCTGGAGGGCCTTGAATGCCACGTTAACTCTACAGAACTCACGTAACAATGCGTGTATCACAAATGTTTGCCTGGGCCTGGAGTCAGGTGCACAACCACTGACAGCAAGCCAGAGATTACAGCTTGGCCTGGACTGGGGACCTTGCTAAACTGCAAAACAACTTATGACCACAACAGAAGGATGGCCTGACAGTCTGCGGATGGCATTACCACTATCACAGCTCAGAACACAGGCTGGTTTTCCTTCTCCACATCAACAGAGGGAGAAATATTCAAAGACACTGGGACTCAGGAGAATTCTCTGCTGGGAAGTATGGCCCCATCCAGTGCCAGCAAAGCCTCCAGGTCTGTAACACAAAGCTCCCAGACCCTGCGATGTGTATGCACCCTGGGTGTGAGCTAGGGGTGGGGGTTCCTCGCCTGCTGAGAAGCCTGGGTGAGAGTGGGGTGCTCAGGGACGAAGTCACAGGTCCAGGGCACCAGCAGCCCGGAGGGCGTGTAACCCTGAGTTACTCTTTGGTCGGAAACTGAGCTGCCCACTGTGCCCCCTGGAGGCCAAGGGCACACACTCAGCAGGTGGTCACTGAGCGCAGAAGCCGCGACATGTATGTAAAGTCTCCTTGGGGTCTGACTCCTTTCATTTATATTCGTACAAAACAGGATCTTAAGCAGGTCAGCATTCAAAAATTATGTAGATAAGAATGAAATCAAACAAACTCAGAAAGTGCTAAAACACAACTGCTATATTTCAGGCACAGAGAACCAGGCAGAAACAAACTCAGCAGGTTTTCACTTGGCAAGCACACGCCTCTTCCAGTAAACTCACCTGCAAAGAAAGTACAGTACATCAGTTCTTTGTTCAACTTCAGCAAGTCTGAATATTCAGGGGATTTAAAACTGTTTTAACACAATAAAAAACCCTTCAAAACCTAAAATCTACCTTCCACCCAGAACACGATGTGGCTGGGGCCCACCCTGCAGTGACCCAGTGTCCCCCCTCCTTCCAAGTCTACAGGCTCCATCCCAGTGACTTCCTAACAACCCCCACCACCACCCCAAGCACACTTGGGCATCCACCCACCGCCACGTGGGACCCTCAGAAGCTTGCCCATAGCAGGCACAGTAAACCACCATCTGACAAAGCTTCCCACAACTCAATACCAGCCCGTCTATCCCTACATTCTCCTCCCATTCTCTCTCACTGTGTAGACCCCCAGTTTGGCCCCAACTCTTGAGCCCCAACCCTCTCACTTTCACACTTTCCACCTTCTGTCACATTTCATCAGCTGGAAATGGCCTTCACTTCCTCACAGGGTTACATCCTGCCAGGTCCCACTGAAAACTCACATTCTTGGGGTCCAGCACTTTCTGCTGTCTACCTCTCTGCACCCCAAACCCCGGAACACCAGGGACCACGCTTTTCTTGACGTTCCCTCCAAAGCAGAGGCATAACGCTTTGACTGCTGTAGGTACTTCAACGTGATGAAGGATCGCTTCTCCATCAGTGTGCTGACAGCAAAACAGGCAAAGACAGGAGGAATGATGCTTCACGGAGTAGGCTGAAGCACACCAAGAAAATAAAAATGAAAAGCAGTTCCACTGGTAGTTTACTGTGTGAGATCCCCAGGAAAGACCAACAGGAAGATTCTCTCCAAGTGGAACTCATCTTGGCCTCTGTCCAGGAAGTGAAAGGGTTCGGATGTCACGATTCCAGTAAGGGTGGCACTGCCCTTCCAGTAATGTCTTAGACCTGCACTATCCCACGCAGCAGCCACTAGGTACACATGGCCATTTATGTTTAAATTAAAATTTCAGGGACTTCCCTGGTGGTCCAGTGGTTAAGAATCCACCTGCCAATGCAGGGGACACAGGTTCCATCCTTGGTCCAAGAAGAGTCCCAAATGCCATGGACCAGCTAAGCCCAGGCGCCACAACAAAGACCCCATGCAGCCAAAAAATAAAAATAAAACAAAATGTCACTCCAGGATCATGGCCGCCCTACTGGACAGCACAGATATAGACCATTTCCAGCATCACAGAGAGTTCTGTCTGACTGCCGCTCTGTGCACAGGACTCTTGAAATTACAGTTTTTAGCACATCATCTTTGTTGAAGCTGAAACTCCAACACTTTGGCCACCTGATGCGAAGAACTGACTCATAGGAAAAGACCCTGATGCTGGGAAAGATTAAGGGCAGGAGGAGAAGGGGACGATAGAGGATAAGATGGTTGGATGGCATCACTGACTCAATGGACATGGGTTTGGGTGGACTCTGGGAGTTAGTGATGGACAGGGAGGCCTGGCATGCTGCAGTTCATGGGGTTGCAAAGAGTTGGACACGATGAGCGACTGAACTGAACTGAGCACATCATCTCGTTTAAAACCCACACTGACCTCCTAATATTCTCAGGACAAAGCCCCAAATCCTCACATGAGCCACAAGCGCTGTGTAGCCTGTCCCTCCCCCACCTTTTCAGCTTCTTTTCACACCATTTTCCACTTTACGTTCTGGGCTACAGTGGCCTTTTTCTCAGTTCCTCCACTAGCCACACTAGCTAGGCCACTGGACCTTTGTACATGCTGCCCCCTGGCCTTCCCACCAAACTCCTATGCATCCTTCAGAGCCCACTCAAGGGTCTCATCCTCAGGAAAGCCTTCCAGTCTCCATCAGGTTCTTTGAGACACACATTCTTGTAAGACTGTGCTTTCCTTCAGTTCCTGGTGCCTGCTTTTGGCCTCTTCCGTCCAAGGCCCAATTTCTATGCTGGGAGTGATTCCTGAAGTCCGGTTGCCGGGAGCTTCGTCAGCGTCTCAGGGCGGGAACTGGAGCCGCGGACCAGCGTCATTCTGCGGGTTTGGGGTTCGGCCAGCGGGTGGGAGCGAGCGAGTACAGCCCCTCTGACACCACAGAACACGTGGCGTCCCTGCCTTCCCAATCTAGAGTGAAAAGCAGGTCTGAACATGCACTTCCGGCCGTAAGGGACGGCTTACCACAGAGACGGCAGCTAGACGATCTCCTTAGCTCTGAAACTGGGTCCTCCATGGCCGCCTTAAAGGGGCCGCAGCCTGGAGATGTTGGAGAGGAGCGCCCTAGCTCGGAGGGGAGGTCCCTAGAGCAAGGGAAGCAGGAGGCCAGCTAGGTTTCCGGAATGGAGCCGCATCCCGAGGCAGGGGATAGGTACAATGATCACTCCTGTTTTCCAGGGGAAAAGAGCCAAGCTGCAGAGAAGGTGAATTACTCTCCCAAGTTTGGCCAGCCAGGAAGCCATTGGCCCTCTCTGTGTCCACAACTGGGCGGGTTCAGCAACACAACAGCCTCTTCCCAGACCATCGGCCTCAGGACACTGTGTCTCCTCCCTAAACCTACGTGGAAACCCCCAAGCCGACGTCACTCCGAATATGCTGAAACCAGCAATCTTGGAATCTGCCTTTAGGCAGGCGGGCACTCTGGTTAGCCACAGGCCCCCTCCACTCCCTACTGTTTAACACCAGTTGTTCACATTTATAGCACCTGCGGCCCCAGGAGGGTGCTTGAATTTGTGACTTGGGGTCTCCAGGCTAAAACCCCCAATTTATTGGCATTCAGATCCTTCAGAATCTAGCCTTGTTTGCCACCACTCTCTCCCTTCCTCAATTACAGGGAACTTGTCACCATGCCCCCTCAACTCCCAGCTCCTCCAGCCTCATCTTCCCGCAAGGCTTGAAGGACAGGGTTTGTTTTTGCACGTGTAGTTCCTCACAGAGCCCGCACCTGCCTGCTGCCCACTGCAGGTGCTGAGTGACGTGGGAGGAGGTGAGGCAAGCCGTCAGACTGTTTTGCTACTTACCACGTGGTTTAACCTCATGGGTCTCTTGTTTCTCTGTATGTGACATAAAAAGGCTGCAGCAGTTCCCAGCCTTCATTTATTAGTAAACCTGTTTTTAGATGCAATATTTTCCAGAAATCCAGTAGTTAATACAGATAAACTTTTTAAAACCCAACAACAGAGACAAAAAAAAAGAAAAATACCAACCATTTAAAAATGGACAAATAATTCAAACTTATCTCCAGAGAAGACATTCAAATGGCTGATAATCACATGAAAAGATGGTCAACGTTGGGACTTCCCTGGTGGTTCAGTGGTTGGGAATCCATTTGCCAATGCCAGAGATATGGATTCAATCCCTGGTCCAGGAAGATCCCATGTGCCTCAGAGCAACTAAGCCTGTGTGTCACAAGTACTGAGCCCACTCTCTAGAGCCCTTATGCCACAACTAAGGAAGCCCCAGCACTCAGGGGCCCGTGCTCCACAACAAGAGAAGCCGCCTCAATGAGAAGCCTGTGCACTGCAAGGAAGAGTAGCCCCTACTTGCTGCAACTAGAGAAAGCTGTGTGACACAACAAAGATCCAGCACAGCCAAAAATAAGTAAATGGATAGTTTAAAAAAAAAAAAAAAAAGATGGTCAGCATCTTTAGTCATCAGGGGAATACACAGCAAAACCACGATGAGATTCCATTCATATCTAGTAGGATGGCTAGAAGCAAAAAATCTGAAAATGAGAACTGATGGGGAAGAACACAAGAGAGCCCAGAGGGAGAAGCCAGATGACAATCAGGAGCTCAGTGTGGCTCTTTCCCTGGTGACTTTCCTGGTGGGGGCGCCTGGTAATTTTCCTGGGGGAATGCCTGGGATGGGAGGGAGTGTGCCTAGAATAGCAGGAATGCCTGGGCTCAATGGAATGTTTAGCGATCCAGAGATTTTCTTGCAGCCATGCAGGATCCAGAAGTTACTGTGACCTTCCGGGATGTGGCCCAGAACCCGGCAAAGATGTCGAAAGCAACCCAAAGGTTATGAATCTCATCGGTAAATTGTCAGCCAAATTTGGAGGTCAAGCATAAAGCCCTTCTTTTAAGTTTATCTTTGGGGGCCTTTTTGTTTGTTTGTTTTCTCTAGGCATCATGCCCTTCTGACAAAAAAAGCCCCTGCTGAAGGAAAAGCAACTTAGATCACCTAATGGATGTCACAATAATACGAACCAGCTTATCTCTGATCTTCTTATGAAGAAAGCTGAGGTACTTTGAAGATAATTTCTACTCCTGTGCCCCAAATGCAACTGAAACATTCTTACAGTGGTTTGCCATTAGGGTGTTCATCAGATAATGTTTTCCTACTAGAAATTAAAAACTTTAAACAGTTTTAAAAACTTAAACGTATTTATAACAAAATTTTTAAAGAATAAATAATAATAAAGAATATGAATGTGTGGGAAAAAGAAACTAGATAAAGTAGGAGAAGCTCTAGGGGAACCAAGACAGCCCTGTGAGGCCTTGAGCTGGCCTGTTTCCAGAGGTTTCCCATAAATTCTGTGGACTGCAGGTACCTGAGACGGTACAGAATCTGCCTGCAAGGCAGGAGACCCAGGTTCAATCCCTGGGTCAGGAGGATCCCTGGAGAAGGGAATGGCTCCCCACCCCAGTATTCTTGCCTGGAGAATCCCATGGACAGAGGAGCCTGGCGGAACAGGCCATGGGGTTGTAAAGAGTTGGACGGGACTGAGCAACTAACACTTTCGCAGCCCAGAAAACCAGAGGGTGCCACTATGGGACACCCCCAGGACCCTTCCAGCTCTCAGGTCCTGGATCTCAGAGTGAAAGGGGGCCCTCCATAGGGTCATACACACACCCCGGCCTTGGGGGAAGTTACGGTTTAGGGGAAAGATTTGCATGAAACCCAATGCTAGAAACCTAAAGGGCACTAGAGTTCCCGGGAACGACTAGTGACATGTAACTGTCCAGATCATTCTGCGTTATTCCCAGGGAGACAGGACAGAGGGTCCTCCAGTGGAACAGTCTCTAGAACACTGGACATTAAACAAAGATGTCTTTGTGTCCTGTCCTGTTTCCATCTGCTGAAACTCTACCTGGATGTGGGGTCTTTTTTTAATATACAGTTTTATTTATTTGTGTCTGTTCTTTCCTATACTGGCTCTTCGTTGCTGCGCAGGCTTTTCTCTAGCGGCAAGCGGGGGCTCCTCTTTGCTCCAGTGCACGGGCTTCTCACTGGTGGCTTCTCGTTGCAGAGCACGGGCTCCAGGCACTTGGGCTTCAGTAGCTGCAGCGCTTGGGCTGAGTAATTGTGATTCCAAGGCTCCAGAGCACAGGCCCAATAGTTGAGGCACGTGGGCTTAGTTGATCCACGGCATGTGGGATCTTCCCAGACAGGGATGGAACCTGTGTCTCTTATACTGGCAGGCGGATTTTTCACCACGGTGCCACCAGGAAGCCCCTGGATGTGGGTTCTTCACACTGACCCTTCGGCCTTTGTCTATGACTGCACCTCAAAACAACAGTCTGAATGTTTTCTTTTCCTTTTTAACCATGTTGTGTGGCTTGCAGGATCTTAGTTTCCTGACCAGGGATCGAATCTGAATCCTGGCAGTGAGAGTGAGACAGGAGCCAGGCCCCAGGGTGAGCAGCTGGAATGTGTCCCCTTCCGACAGCAGAAGAGGAGGCTGGGCCCCGCCCCAGATGAGAGATAAAAGGCCGCACATTCCTCATTCCTGCCTGAAGTCAAGGAGACCTCCCTGACTGCACATGCTCAGAAAGGCTCCTTAGAGGTCAAAGAGGGAGAAGGGCGCTTCCGCACAGTAAGTGATGCTAACCCTCCCGTGGGCCTCTTTGCTAGAATCCGTCTTGGTTGAGAGGTGCACGCACATGAGAGGACCCTGAGATATGCCAAACACAGACCCGGAGAAGCACGATGGTTGGCCAAAGGGAACCTGGCAGAGATGCCGCGTGCAAGTGATTCAAACTACCGCAAGGGGCGACTCTCTCTGAGCCTGCCAGTGTGGCTATCCACATGTACTCTTTTTCCTCCTAATAAACACTTTACAGTTTCATTACTTTCTTTGTGGGAATTTATTTCTGCAAAGCCATACAGGCCAGGGCCTTGTCACTGGCCACTGGTTCCTTGTGGGGGGTGTGTGTGTGTGTGTGTGTGTGTGTGTGTGTGTGTGTGTGAGTCGCTCAGTTGTGCGACTCTTTGTGATCCTATGGACTGTAGCCCGCCAGGCTCCTCTCCATGGAATTCTCCAGAGAAGAATATTGGAATAGGTAGCCATTCCCTTCTCCAGGGGATCTTCCTGACCCAGGGATTGAACCCCAGTCTCCTGCACTGCAGGTGAATCTTTACTATCTG